TAAAGGTTCTTCTCTTTTTCTCCTTCTTTTTCTTCCTCCTCCATTGTTTATGTATTAGGTTTCATATTCTGTACTCTTTGTCTATCCCTTGATTGACTTTGGGGACAGTTGATTAAATTTTGCATTTGCTTAGTAATTAGCTGTTCTACTTTCTTTGCTGTGGTTGGTTTTATTACCTCTGGTGAGAGTTATTAAACCTTAGGAGCTCTTCCATCTATAGCAGTCCCTACAAAATAGACTGTAGAAATGGTTTGTGGGAGGTAAATTCTCTCAGCTTTTGCTTATCTGGAAATTTTTTAATCCCTCCTTCAAATTAAATGATAATCTTGCCGGACAAAGTAATCTTGGTTCGAGGCCCTTCTGCTTCACTGCACTAAATACATCATGCCACTCCCTTCTGGCCTGTAAGGTTTCTGCTGAGAAGTCTGATGTTAGCCTGATGGGCTTTCCTTTGTATGTGATCTTATTTCTCTCTCTGGCTGCTTTTAATAGTCTGTCCTTATCCTTGACCTTTGCCATTTTAATTACTATGTGTTGGTGTTGTATTCCTTGGGTCCCTTGTGTTGGGAGATCTGTGCACCTCCAACACCTGAGAGACTATTTCCTTCCCCATATTGGGGAAGTTTTCAGCCGTTATCTCCTCAAAGACACTTTCTATCCCTTTTTCTCTTCTTCTTCTGGTATCCCTATAATGCAAATATTATTCTGTTTGGATTGGTCACACAATTTCATTCTTAGGGATCCTTTTTTCTCTCTGTGCCTCAGCTTCTTTGTATTCCTCCTCTCTAGTTTCTATTTCATTTATTGTCTCCTCCACCGTATCCAATCTGCTTTTAACATCCTCCATTGTGCACTTCAATGATTGAACCTCCAACCAGAATTCATTCCTGAGTTCTTGAATATCTTTCCATACCTCCGTGAGCATGTTAATGATTTTTATTTTGAACTCCCTTTCAGGAAGAGTCATGAGGTCCATGTCATCTTTCTCAGGAGTTATATTAATTTTACTCTGATCCAGTTCCTTCGGCGTTTCATATTTGTATATGGTGCCCTCTAGTGTCCAGAAGCTCTACCCTCCTTTGGAGCTCCTCAGGCCCTGAAGCAATATCGGGGGTTGCAGAGGAGTGGTATTGGTGTCTGGTGGCAGAAAAGAGCTGTTTCCTGCTTCCCAGCTGCTATGCCTGTCTCCAGTGCCTGAACCAGTGGGCTGGGCACACAGGTATGAGCCAGTATGCTTTGCATTTGTAGTTGCTGTAGACAGATCTTCCCTCTGGCTGGCCTAATGCCAGGGTAGGGTTTGCTGATTTGTGATCCAGGTGGAGTTAGCCGCGAGAAAAGTGCAGTATACTGCGTATCACGGAGGGGGTCCTTGGAGCTGTGTAGCCAGCTGGGGAGCTGGAGAGCCTGAAGATCGTGAAAGTTCCCAACCTGCTGGGTAGAGCGCACCTGGACAAAATTGTCAGGAAGTCTCTCAGACTTTCCACCTTTCTTTTGTCCCAGAGCAGCCGGATATGGATCCCTGCTCTCCACAAGTGGCTAGAATCTCAGTCTCTCCAGGAATTGTGCCTGTCTTAGCTTTCCAATCCCCTAATCATGAGAGTATCATAAAAGCACCATGAAATGTAGGTTTGTGCTCCCAGATCTCTGGAATTAGGTATTCAGCAGTCCCAGGCCTCCACTCCCTCCCTGCTCCTTTTCTCTTCCTCCCACCAGTGAGCTGTGGTGGGGGAAGGGCTTGCGTCCCACCAGGCCACAACTTCCATGCATTACCCTGTTCCATGAGGTCTGTTCTTTTCTCCAGGTGTATGTGGTCTGGCGCAGTCCTCTTTCCTGTTGCTCTTTCAGGATTAGTTGTATTAATTATATTTTCATATTATATGTGATTTTAGGAGGAAGCCTCTGTCTCACCTCTCACGTCGCCATGTTTAATCCTCTTACCTTTTGTTTTTTGATGCACTCTCATTTTGGGCCAATCCTCTTTTGATTATCCATTTCTGTAAAAATGTCATGTGAGTTTATATCTGGGAAACAAGGAGGCCACATAACTACACACACACTTTGTTTTCTGTCGTGAACTGATAGCACATGTGTGGTCACCAGTCACCGAAAAACTGAAGTTAGAGATGAAGTCAGTCACTGATCATCTTGCACATCTGTTATTTACAGAGTGATCTGTGGAAGAACTAACAACCAAGTTTGTATTTCATATAATTATGGTGAATATATACCATGGTAGCTGAAATCTGAACCATGTTGCTGGTGAACAGGTGTAGTTATCTAAACTGTGGTAACTGAAATTCATGCATATCAAAATCATGTACAGCAAGGTCTATCTGTAGTTTAAAGGACAAAATTGAAGCCAGATTTCTTGATAAAAATCCCATCTCTGACACTTACTATTTAAATGACCTTAAGTAAAATTCACTTAATCTTACTAGGCTTCAGTTTTTTCATCAATAAAATAGAGATAAGAGCAAAAACCTGTGAGGACTAAATGTATAGAATGGTTAGAGTAACAGGTAACCCTTAGTGAGGACTGCATGAAGGACAGACCTGGCTGCTAGTTGTTAATAACAGCACTAGCTGTTACTGCCACAGCTGCTGCTACAAGTACTTATACTAAATTGTCTATATCTGTACTATCTAATGTGGTAGCTACTAGCCCCATTTGATTTTTAAATTAAATTAATTAAAACTAAATAGAAATGTAATTCCTCAGCAATAAGCACATTTTAGGTGCTCGAAAGAAGCTCTACTAGACAGTGCTGTTCCCTATAGTTGAATAGGTAAGAACATAAAATTGGATATGTGAACTTAATATAATTAATAGTCATCCCTTCATCATTGGCTTGAAATCAAGAAACACGTCATCCCTTCATCACTGGCTTGAAATCAAGAAACACGTCAGTGAAAACAAAAAAGAATTTCAACAAAAGGCTTCAATATTGGTAATTTCTGAATAAAATGGACTTTCTTACATTAAACATTACTCTTTAGAAACTTAATTTTAAATGAGAAAGGTTGCCCACATTTTGAAAACTTTCATTTAAAGGAATTCAAGAAAAGCACAAATAAATTAGTATATAATTAAGATTAAAACATCAATAATAATCTAAGTTAACTAAACTACATTTACACTCATCTGTTACTCCTTTTATTTCCAAAAGAAAAGAAATTCTATTTTTCATAGTTCTGTAATTTTTTTCTGATTCCCCAGTTCTACACCTTCTGACATCTTAGGTAACCATGATATACCCGTCTGAGCAGAGGACATGCTCGCAGGGCTGGAGCCACATCTCTTCTAGCTCTATTCCCCACACGGGACTAAGCACAGTGCTCCTGCACAGCCGGTCTTAAATAAGTAACGGTCAAGTTGACCTCCATTAGCAAAACCTTATCCTAAGATAGCAAACATGAACATCAAGTTGATAAATAATATTCTAGAAAAAAAGGATTGGTATAAAAGAATATACTTTAAGGAAAAATTTTACACCAGAAAGTCCCAAAGTAGAGTCTTATGAAGAAGTGGCCATTTATGTTAAGCCCAATTTTATCCAAAAAGAACAAACTTCAGTAGCAAGTTAATACAACACATTTCTAGAAAAACTGTGGTTATAAACAGAAATAATTTCCCTACAAATTTTATAGCACAAGTCCAAAGGGAGGACTTCCTAAACTACTCTTTAAAAGAAAAAAAATTATGTTAACACACTATGCTAAACCTAACCCATGAAACAGATCTTAATTGTTTCAAACCTTAAGTATCCATTTTTTTTTACTGATACAAATATACTTACTGTGTCAGCTTGTTCTTACAAGTTACCTTTTAGAAGTTATGGAAGTAATCTCATTTTTCTTTTTACAGATATCATGGTTTGATGATAATTTCTCCAGGGAAAGTAATATCCCTAAGTGGAAAATATCCTTCCAAGACCTTAAAATGTCTGCCCATGCTAATATAGAAATAGCTCTAGTAAATGTTTATTTGGGTTGAACTGAGAATATATTCATTTCAACCAAGCTGATGACATGGTTCTTAAACAAATACAGGACAAAACAATAACAGTAAGAGGGAATATATTTAAAGTGCTATTCAAATCATAAGTTTAGGATGAAATTCAAGTAAATTCTACTGACCAGAAAAGCCTGTATCAAGTTTAAGCTTCTTTCTAGACAGTACTTTACCAGAAATCTCTAGGTTTATGAATAGATATTTACAAAAAAGCTCAGAAAGTTCTGATCAGGGAACTAACTTAAGCTAGAAATGCAAAACTAACTTGCTATTATAGTCCTGCATTCATAGAATCACTAAAAATCTGATTGCTCCCTGTTAAATGTTTATTACATGCATGGAAGAGGGTAATTTACTTTTAAACCACTAATACTGATTGATTCATCTGATGAGTTTTTTCCAAATCAGGAGGATAAATAACTAGTAGCTAGAAGTCAGAAAAAGATATAAGGGGGTATAGATGGAACCCAAAACCTTGCATTATATCAGTTTTCTTGGCCTACGATTTTTACAAAATGTCTCAGAGTTAGAAGTACTCTTATATGCATCTGCCTTAAATATATTTTGGAAAAAATAAATAAATGACACATAAGTATTTATCATTGTAGTAGCTGATATTGTGTGCATTAGCATTGGTGCATTCTTGATGCTTTTCCAGGTTTCGGGTCAATGACAACTGGCTACTGCTTCAAGCTTTTCTGTCTTTGATGATCCTATTTTATACACTGGCCTATTTTATGGCAACAAATTTTAGTTCTTAAGCATATTGGCTTATTTTCAAATTATGACTTCTCATAAATAAAATGCAAACAAACAGAACATTCATTTTCAATGTTTTATTCTCCTCTATGTTCACTAAATCATTACTATTTAGAAATAAATATTGAAATGAAATGAACTGCCTTATTCTGTGAAACCAGGTCCAAGAACTATATTAAAGCTTGTTATAAAGTCCATAAATAGTTTTGGGTAGCAGGACAAAACTTACTGTTCAGAACATTCTCCAATTTTTGCGTCATGGATCCTTCTACTTTTTCTGTTCCATCTGCTTCTAGTTTTTGATGGATCGCTAGAAAAAAAACATCTAGTTAAAATCTAAGCTATTTTAATGGGTGAGAATACATTACATCAAACAACACTTTAAACAGCTTTTTAAAATGGTCATATTATTTTCACTGCTGAAATGAAGCACAAACATACAAAAACTCTGCATAACTATGCAAAGTAACAGCAGACACCAGGTTAAGTTATTCACAGTTCAACACTATTAAAACAGTGCATAAACACGTACTGAGTCATCTGACCATCAAAGTTGAGTGATAAAAACAGGTGAATTAGAAAAGAAAAGTGAGACTTAAGTAACTATTATCTTTGATATTTGACCACAAGGAAGTCATTCTTTTTTCTCAGTTTCACTAGCTGCAAAATAGAAATACTACTATTTGGAGCCTACCAACCTCAAAATATTTCAACTTGAGACATAACATGGCAAATATACATATTATTCATGTTCTATTCATTCTATAATTATTTTCCTGGAGATTCCCAAGAAATATCTAGTAGCATCAATTTGTTGGTTATACAAACTACGCTGGAGTTTTTTGCTCTTATTGATATATTTCTGCATGGTTCTAATAAAGATTATTAGGAAATGACTTAATTTATATTTAAAAACTGTTTACCTACTGAAGATAGTAGGTTTTAAACAGAAGAAATCAGGCTTACTTAGGTGAAGCACAAAAAAAAACTTCTAAAACAAAATGGCCAAATACAATTTCAAATTAGAAACTGTGTCATAATAAAAATAAGAATAACAAGGCAAACATTAAGCCATGACCATAAGTTAAGAACTGTGTTTCTAAGGAATACTGCTCATCATGTAAGAAGCTAATGTTTGGTTATTTCTGTTTTACAGATGGGAGAACTACGGCTCAGTGAAATTAAGTTGACCAAGGTCATATAAACTAAACCCAAAATTTGAACTCAAGCAGTCTGATACCAGAAAAAACTACACCCCATCCTGCCATATCACATGGGCAAGTGACTTAACTGTCTAAGCCTCTGTTTTCACATCTGTAAAATGAGAATAATACACTTACAATGTCAGCTGGGAATTGCATTCAGTTGCAAATAAAAGAGAGCTCTCTCCAAAATAATAAGCTGCTGAAACACCCATATTGCATTCTTTCACTTAACTTGCTCTAGCAGGAACTCAAATGCAGGATGTGTAACTCCAATTTCACAGCCAGTACACTGAAATAAACATCACTCTACGGTAGCTATTCTCTTAACATTCAAACAGAGTGTCAAACTCTTTCTTAAAAGGAACTTAGAGGTTCTTTTTCCACTTGCCTCAATCCACCAATTGTGGGTGGCAGATTTATGAAGGAAAAAAAAGGTCTGTCTAAGCAACTAAAAAGATGTGCATTTTTTAAATCAATTATAATTCAATTTGTTTCCTTTGACTCATTGGTTAGGAAATTATGGGTCAAATTCAGTGTTCAAATGCACTGTGAAATGCATGATAACACTTTTTAATTAGTTTCTAATCCTGATCTTGTCTTTTTTCTACTTTTTCTTGTAAGCAACCCCAAATTTGTTTGAAATTCTTAAGTAAACAGACTGCTTCTCTGTTGAAGAAACATGTTCACAGAAAGAAAAAAAAATAAATTTGGAAAACAAAACCAATATTTTAAATTGTCTTAGGTGATCCAGGAATGAAAAAAAGTTATTTACTTCAATGTTTCAAATTTGGATTCTGTGGTAATGGTGACATAAAGTGTTTCCACATATTAACACCTAAACTTAATTTGAACTTAAGTGGAAAAGGACTTCCCTATCTTTAAGGAAAGGAGATAAAAATGCCCAAATATTGGAAAGAAGAAATTAGGAAAATTTATTTCCATGTTCTACACAAGCAAATATGCTTACACTACTTATTTAAATGATGCTGTGATTTTTCTGACAATCTTGGTTGCATTTTATTCAGTGGGCACTGCATGTGCTTTGTCCCTGGAAACAAGACATTCCATTTTATAGTAGCCCTGCTTCAATTGCTACTTTCTAAATCAAAATTAGCATTAAAGTAAATCACGCAGCCACATTTTCTGTTGCTGACAAAACCCATCACTGATCAGCAGGTCAAGACGAGGTGAACCTGGCTCCCCCCAGCTCAGTTTACAGCCCCTTTTTGCTGACAAAGCAGCTTCCTGCCACCCATCTCCACCACAGCAGAGCCACTGTCAAGCTGTCAGCCAAGCATGAGGACTGAGAGACACTGGGATCTGATAAAGGCAATCCTATTTTCCAGAAAATTAAACCAAATAACCCAATGTCTGGTTCACTTGACCTTTTATTTTCTCTAAAAACATTTTAAAATAGTATAACTCAATAAGCAATGTGGTACATGATCACAGGTTTGTTATTGTTTCTAATCTATTAAAACTTAAATATGTGAAGCAGCTGAACACCATGAATTTATGTTTGGGAAACAAAAAAGTATGTATATCAAAATTCTACTCAAAGAAAAATCATTATTATAGAAAGACTACCTATTGATTCACTGAAATTATTTGATTGTTTTACTTATCTCTAGTAAAATGTGGACATGAAATTAGAAAATTTCAATCAAAAATTAGTATTTGTCTATGCATTTATATAATGCCATTATTAAATGAGTCACTAAGAAATGACATGTGTATGGGCAATGTCTACAAGGATTCAGTGTTGGACACTGTGATCTGTATCCTCTCATGACCACATTTTTATTAGCTTTTGTGAGACAGGAATATTCAATGAGGTCAGAGAGTGGCAAACTGTTTCAATAAAGAACCAGATAGCAACAACTTTCTATGTTAACAGACAGTAACTGCACTAGTTGGGGTAAGGATTTAATAATGTGTTTAAATTTGAATCACTGTGTTGTATACTTGAAACTAATATAATATTGTATAGCAACTATACCTCAAAAAAAAATCAGACAGTAAATATTTTAGGCTTTGTGGGCCACATAGGGCCTCTATTATATATTCTACTTTCCCACCCTTTTTTTTTTCAGAGCAACCCTTGAAAGACATGGCCATGTTTATAGCTTTTGGCCTATACAAAGACCAACCATGACCTAATTTGGCCCATGTTCCAATTACTAAATAGAAGACTAAGGTTTAGGATGACATGTATTAATTTAAACTTATTAAGAGCTTTACAAACATTGAGTTTCTACTACTTATTCTACCAAATTTTTATCAGAGTACCTAAATCATGTACCAATTATATTAAAATTGGCTAGGTAATCTGTGAATCCTTTCCTTCCTCAGTTATATTAAAAGAAAAATGAGAAATAACAGAAATAATTGCAAATTCTACATAGAAGACTAATAGGTATAAAGGACTCTCACTTAGATAATTGGGTCACAGGGAACCATACTTGTCTGGATTATCTTCACAGACCAGTAGACACTAAGGAATCAATTTTGCCCACACCACTTGGAGTAGCAGCAATAAAAGTAACTTGGGAGGGATGGCCAATTGTATATCAAGCAACAAGTGTTATTCACTATATTCTGAGCTATTTATCTTCTAGTATATCACAGAGGAGAGTTATTCATATAGTTTTGGCCCACAGCTGTTCTCAAAGGAGAAAGTGATTATGCTGGACTTGCTACTTAAAAAGCAAGTGGTTGTGCAAGTGAGAAGAAGCACAAGGGGCAGTCAGGGAACTGCTCACCGAACAAAGGTGATGTCAGAAGGCACTGAGGAGCTGCAGAAGGCCTTCAAGGTTTTAAGAAGCTTCACAAATATTACTGTGACCTGGGAGGATGTGTGAGTAGAAACTGGTAAGAAACCATGGCTCATCAAGATGTCTAGAGACCGTAAGAGAATGGCAGTGACAGACATGGAAAAGTTAAAGTAAGGTGTTGAAACAGTTCTGCAGGAATAGAAAGAAAAACATTGTAACACACTGAGGTTAACACTGGTAGATCAGTTATGACAGACATACTTCTTGTCAATTTCTAATGAAAACAGTCATGGATATACACAAGAACAAAGAAAACTGACAATAGCATAAAAACTTAAAGATAAATAAAGGTCATACAAGAGACTCATAACTACTTGGCTGTGATTGGGATGCACTGAAAAAATGCCCTGAACTGTGTATGCAATAGTCCCCCAGTCAAAGAGAACAGCAGAGGTATCAAAGGGAGAGAGAAAGATGCTTATTTATTCTATAATCTATCATCTCTATCTAGCCTAATTCTGTAACACAAGAATAGCACAGACCAAAAGAATTTTCAGAATTTTTTCTAACTATATTTAGGACTATAGTTTTCTCCCTGATGGTTCTTACCTCTAACAACTCTTTCCCTTTTATAATTAATTAGAGATCAAATCCCCAACATCCAGCATGGCAGGACACAGAAGCAACTAGTTGGGATAAACTACTGCTAGACAACTCAGCAATCTACTGAAAAACAGAAAGGGTGCTGGCACCATGCAGGGTGGCAGAAAGAAAGGAGTAATATTTTATACGAGGCCATTCAGAGATAACCATGAATGATATCTGACACAAAACTGCAGTTCTGAGTCTATAGATAAAAAAGCTTATCAAGTGTTGGGTAATATTAATAAAAACAAACACCTACATTCTAATACATCCTGAAAAGTTTTTTTTTAATTCAAGGCCAAACAAAAGTATCTTTAAAGCATTTAGGTAGAGAGAAAAACAGTTCATCTACTAGTAATAAAGAATTACATTGGCTCAAGACTTCATCTCTGCAACACTAAAAGACACTACTGGACCAACGTTTTTCACAAAATAATCCTCTTGCAGCCAAATGGCTGTTCATGTATGAAAGCAAGAGACATTTCCAGACATGCAAGAATTCAAAAGCTACAGCACAAAAGATATATCATGAAGTTAAAACAAACAATACAAAGACAAGAATGATAAAATATAACATAAATGGCAATAAGGTCAATTACATTTATGTGTATACATGGTAAATTTTAAATAACTATAATGAATTCACACGCCTCAACACCCAAAAAGCGAATAATCTGATTAAAAAA